AAAAATATCAAAAACTATCAAATATTTTTTTATTTATTTGAAAAGTGGTATAACGAATGGTATATAATATTTAAATATTGTTCACACTTTTCACCAGAATATGGCATAAAATCTGTCTAGCTATTTCGATATCAAAATAAATACTCTTATTTCAAATTGTTTGACTTGGTTACAAACATCACTTATTAGTTTTGGAACTTTTTTCTTTTTTTTTTTATACAATTTAGAATGGCAAACAAGCTGACGGCCCACTTGATAGAAAGTGGTAACCGTCGCCTATAGGCATGAGCAGTACCATGGACATAACAGAGTATACTGTTTCGCCCATGATACCCCCCATGCGACTTTGGTAACTTTGGTAGTTAAATTAATCTAATAATCATATACATTTGGCCAATGAAATGTTTTGTTTGTCCGAATTTGGTCGCGGGGATTCCTTAGCAAAGAAAATAAAAATATTTTACAATTATTTCTATTGCAATATGGGCTTAAGGGGAAGGCTTATGCCCAGCAGTGGACAGTTAACGATTGAAATAAAAAATAATATGTTGAACAATATAAATCTTCAAATTGATAGCATTAGTAGCTTTTGTGACACTGTAACAGACGGACGGAGAAACGAACAGAGAAAAGTGGCACCATATGGGTTCCTTTGTAAATTTTTAGTACGGTGATCTAGAAGTTATATAAGCTCATATAAGGATGTTACCTTCAATTGATAGGTATGTATATATATATATATATATATATATATATTATACACTCACTTATAGCGCCTTAATGGCTTAACCAATCAGTAAGCAAATTAGTACAGATGTACTATAGGGGATGGGAAAAGGTATATACTTTTTATCTCAAGTCAGTAAACATATCCCGGTCACGCGGATGAAGAAAAATATAATTTACTCTCTGGCTGCTTTGTCTATGGTGCGATTTTGAAAGCTTTAATATTGTTTTTTTTTTAAACCTAATTAGATATATTGCAATGATAATATTCATTACCTACCTGGTAGAACTTTTAAACTGATAAATAGTTACCCACAGTGCTTTACAAAAAACTACAATTAAAGCCTTAATTTGTAGAAACTAAAAAAAAAAGCTAATCTAGACGGACGTGTTTAAATCTAGGAAAAAAATATAAATGATATTTATTATTTTCATTAGCATAATTTCGAGATTTGTCTTAAGTGTATAATTATGGTTAATTACATATTATAATTTGTTGAAGTTGCAATGAAAACGCGATAAATTGTGTATAATTGCGGCAAGCGGAGTCATCCGTCAATGTGTAGTGTAAAAATATTTATTTATTTATTTAATCTTTTTTTTTTCTTTTATTTCGAATGTGGAAGATGGGAAAGAGGTTTGTTTAAATCGAAGCATTTGGCGTTCCATTGTTTCTACCTACCCTAATTGGAGACAAGCGTGACAGTTATGTATGGATGTAAATTCTTTTTAGAACAACATATATGCGGTTTTAATAAGTTATATTAAATCTTTTTAAACAAACCGTAATGATAAATAAGCTGAAGAAAATTGAGATTTTTATTAATTAAATAACTATTCAAATATGTATTGTACTTTTGCATCCGGGTCGTGAACTGAGTTTTTAAGAAAAGTGACGTCGAATATTTCATCGTAGCCCAGCGGTCATGTGTGTTCATCACAGGTGATGTATTGTGAACATTTGTTCTAAACTCTGGCCATTAATTTATCTATTATATCTTTAAGCTATATTACTTCAAGTTATAAATACTGATGTACAGTGTTTGTGCTATGCGATAGCGTTGCTATTTTTCGCAGTTTCATCTAAAGTTTACCTAAGTAAAGTTTGTGTTGTAGCAACTAGATAAATGTTACTTATGTACTTTTTCTATTATTCATATGGGTATTTATCTTAATATATTATATAAACAGGAAACATTTGATTTTTCTATGTTCTTAATAGATAAACTCAAAAACTACTTAACAATTCATTCATTTACAGAAAACTAAATTATCAGTGAGTAATGTAGGTGGTATTATATTTAAAAAAATATGCGAGGTCAGAGCAGGTCGCTAGTGTTATACATAGAAAATATAAAACCAATAGAAATAGAATCATGAATGTATTTTTCGGGAATAGAACCCGCAATCTTCCGAAAATAAGATAGTGTGACAACCTCTATCCTATCAAACTTATTAAGGAAGGATCCTTTAATTCGATTCCTAATTAGAAACTATCGCAAAGTGTCTACAGGAGTACACATTCTACGATTCCAATTAGCTTTTGTTTATTACTAAGTACACTCCGTAACATTACTCGACGTGAATCGTTGTAACAAATATTCCGTGTTTATGTAAGCTATGTCTTACATAAACACTATTTATGTTATATATTTAATTCCCCGGGAAAAATATAATAGGCTACCCCCCTTTCTTTGCCGTGTATGTCCTAAAAGGCGACTAAGGGAGAGCGAGGGATGGGCAGCAGCGTCCCTCTTAAAACATCATTAAAACCTTAATGGCGGTTGACAAATTTCTGACTCCTTAACTATAAACACAGAAATGAGTTGGAACAAATATATTTTGTATCAATAAAATTTTATAAAACTTAACCATCATTATCATCATCATTTCAGCCTTTAACTGATGAACATAAGCCTCCCCCTGCGAGGAAGGTTGTCAGTAGTTGCCACGCTTGACAGGCGGATTGGCAACCGCAGTTAAGCTTTAGAGATATTTTAAGAGAGACGCTGCTGCCCATCACTCGCTCTCCCTTACGTCGCCTCTTACAACAACAACGGGAATGGAAGGGATAGCCTATTCTATACTGGGACCATATGGCATTTTAACCATGTTTAACCATCGTTTGTTTACATTTTTATCAAGTTGTATTGAAACAGACTATAATGCTATACAGCAATACATAGCATTGCCTTTCAGTGGGCGATAACTTAATATGCTAGTGGTATATTCTTATTGGTCACCCACAATGATTATTGTACAGTTTGTGATGCTCCAGGCCCTATTGAGCCTATTTTTATTGCCTGACTCACATCCGTCATGCTGTAAACTAGTGTCGACATGTATTTTGACCGGATTAATGACCGTTTCTAATTACATATCTCAGATAGGCGAAATAGTCTTATCTAGTTGGTGAGTGCATATGTACTCACCTACAAGACTACTGCTGTATATACATATATGTATAAAACATGGATTTTTTTTTCTATTAAAATAGAACGGTAACTCTCTTTCCCTGTGATATTAGTTTATGATATCGAGATATCAGTGAGGAATGGATAGACAAGGATGAAATCAAGTTGGTTGGTCCGTAGTGTCGAAATCACACACAGCCATGCAAATACAACTGCTTTACGGTTGAAACACGAATAAGACAGAGGTACCCAAGCAATCGACTTCTGTACAAAGTCTCTCACTTTGTTACTAAGTGACCTTTGCCTTCAAAATCAAAAGGTTGTCGACCTCTGGTTTAATCAATCACTGTGAAATTTCGTATATACGTACATACTATAATGAAATGGAGCAGGACGTAGGTTAGTTTTGATCCTGATTAGAGGACATACGCTGGACACGCGAGCGAAGTTGCGGCTAAAAGCTTGTACACAGTAAAACTTAAAGAGTAGTTAATAAAATACATACCTAAGGCATGAACACCGCGCGCCGTAAAATCTCGTTTAGCAATGAATAATCTGGTTTCCTGATTCGCATCGTCGAATGGAATCTGGTCCGTTAAAACGATAATTAAACCATCAACAGTAAACACTCAAATTGTCTCGTAAATCATAAAATGATTATAAGCATTCCAGAGATTTGAAAGGAGAGGAGGATTTCAATTCGACCGTATTTTTTATGCATGTATTTTTACTAGTATTTTTTTTTAATGGGTGATAATGGTAGCCCTGTCTGCGCTATCGGTATACACTGGTGGGGCATTAGTGATAGATGACTGATGAGGATGAAAGCAGGTCATTTAGCCCATCCTGATGAATTTAACTAGAATTAGCCACGATGGTTTCCAGTGGGAACCACGTGGAGGTCGACCTGTCAGGGTATATTGCTAGTAATAGGGCTATTTGACTCCATTACTAACAATCCCTTTCCCCCCTTTTACTAGTATTATAAACGTGAAAGTGAGTTTGTTACCTTAATGCCTCAATTTCTTTAGTATAATAGTACTTTATTTGGAATAAAGGATATAGGATAAGTCATTAATCGCAGTCAATCAACAATCGACATATTCTGATGACGCGGATGAAGACGCAGCTGCGATACCTTTGTCGATTTTGATGAGTTTTTGGGCGATTTAAAAACGGAGGAGATTCTCAATTGACTGTTTTTTCTCGGTTGATCTTTTTCTAAACTGGGTTCGTATTTTGAAACCTGTCTATTTAGAAACTTTTCCGAGATTTTTGAAGAGATTATTAATAATGGGTTATAACAGCCCCATTGCTAGCAATATATCCTATCAGGTCGTCGTCCATGCAGTTTTCTCTGAAACCAGCGTGACGAATTCACCAACGTCACGAGATGCGAACTGATCTGCTTTCGTCCTCTTCTATCACCTTTCACTGGTGTCACGCCAGCGTATATCGATAGCGCAGGTGAGATTAGCATTCCATTCGATCCCGTTAAAAAAATCCTCAACACGTAGAGTGAGCGATCCTTCCACAAGAATAGAATTATAAAACTCGAACAGTTTCCAATTTTCGTTGAGACATAATTCTTAGAAATATAAAGTAAGTAAACATTTACTTCTAAATCAAATATTCCGTTTCCCAATTGATTATGAAGCCGAAAAGTTGACCCTTCATTCGGTATAAAACTTTAATTTACATAATCTACAGATTATTTGTTACATTCAATTGCTTCTGATAATTCATAAAAATATTATAATTAATTCTTAATTTATTATATTAGATGGCGCTAGTTGTGCTTAGAAGGCGATGTAACATTTTTTTTTAAAGTATTATATAATCTGGAACGAAATGTCGTAGTCACTCAGGTGTCTCTTCAAAACGTTTAAGACTTTCGCCTTTCGACTTGTGCTAAAGATTTCCATGGAGGGGAATTCTGTAAAGAGTAATTAATCATTTTTGGGAGTCATGCGTTAAGTAAGACTTACTAAACTGCAAATATGCCTGATATTTATATTATATTCGATATAAACTATCGGATCCAAATAATCGAAAATAGATTTCTCCGTCATTTGTAGACCGATTTTAAAAATTCTTTTTGTATTGGAAAAAGTATATTCCTGTATACCACTGTCATCAGGCAACCCTCAAATTTTATATTAGTGTTTCAGATTTTTCAAAACTTATTCAAATTTTTACATCTGGTAGTTATAATCTCACTTCAAAACAATTCTTTAGAGATTATAAGGACGTATAGACCGTTTCTTAGGCTTTTTCAAGTTATTTAGGTGATTGCGTGGGAGCCATCGTTTCAGGCTGCTGACAGACAATGAAAGCCACAGAACTCTGTATTGAATAACCAAATACGTACATTATGATTTGATGATATCTTATTACGAGAGTGGGTTCTCTTATTAGTGAGAGTTAAAAGTTTTTAGCGACGAGTTTTACAGAAGGTTAAGAAGGAAACAAAAATTCATACTAGCGTTAATTAATTTGTAAACTAACTTACAGTTCTGTTATAATATAATTATGATATTATACAGTTTGAATTAATAGAGAAACATAATTCTAATGAAATACTTAAACATTTTTTAAAGGGTTAAAGATCAATTATTATAGAACGGTATGCAAAAGACAAAGTATATAAATATTACAACGATGTAACGCATCAATTGGCGCTGACTCAAACAGATTTTGCCCTTTAAAAATATAATATCAGTTTATTTTTCGCTTTTTGATTTTTGTCTCTTTTTTTCTTAAGTAAATTTAATTTGTGTTTTTATAGGTTTATTTATTTCAATATCGAATATTTTCCAGTCAAATGCAATAAAGTTTTCTTTTTTTTTTTTCAGAAAGAAAGATATTTCGAAATTTTTAATGTAGAATTAGGTATTTAATGAACGCACAGAATTCACAGATTACATCCAGTAATGTAACTTAGAAATTAATATTTATTCTTTTAAGTATATATACAACGGTCAGGTCATGACAGCCAACTGCAAGAATGGATAATTTCTACCGTTGTCCCGCTAGCTGTTCACTCACAGGTGTCACTACCTGGTAATGATATTTAATTAAAATTGAAATCATTAAATATTATTAAAATTTACTTTTGTGTTTATTGTATCTAATTATTAGTCAAATTGAGCTTTTAATCGATGCGATCTCAGTTTGGTATTTAATAAAATAAATTTAAGATATTTTATGTCCATATAAAATATATATTATGCTGTTGATATATTATGTTTTGATTTGTGCACGACGCACCTTTTTAGTTTCCTTTTTAATCTTATTAAAAAGAAGTTTTTTTCGTGACTTGAAATTATTGTCAGATTATTCAGTTTCATTCGCTTATTTGCTCCCTTTGTTTGCTTTGTATACATTTTTATAATTATACTATCTTTCTAAAGACACCGTGTTTCCATAACAGCATACAGTCCTTTCTTCCTGTCCACATTTTTGGTCCTTCGAGCCGGATACTAAAAAGGTGTATCGTGCACGTGATTTTTATATTGCAATAATATTTGCATGAGATCGATATTAGTTTTACAATGGATGTAACTATGCTATAGACGGGAAACTAACTTTTAAATTTAAAATAAAAAATCACCAAAATGTCACAATTGGTGAATTAAATACGTCGCGTGATATAAACGTCAAATGTTACAACAAACTGAGAACCATCTCTTTTTGAAGTCGGTTAAACGTCGTAATATATGTACCACATGTCAGCATGTGCGATTACTCATTTTATTTCGCTGTTTAAAGATAATTATGTCAGTGTTTATGTTTTTGTTACAAATATGATACACTGAAGTAAAACATGTACTTAAATTATTGGTCACGATGTTAATTATGTCCATTAATAATTTTGACAAATGACTAAGGAAGTGTTGTTTCATATAGTTGTAATGTGTACAATTACGTTAATAATTTACCTAATTGCGACTGTGCTGAGTCTTATCTTTATTTATTTACGTCGACATAAATAAAAATCAATTGTCGAATATATTCATGCATGAATGAATATTTATTTACAAGAAATATGATAAATATATAGATGTTAACTATAGGCATAAGTCCAGTCATCGAGTCGACCTTCGAAGGAACTCTTCATTCAGTTTTTTTGATTGCAATCCTTCTTTTGCAGAAAATTTTTACAATTTCTGCCAAAAGAGAACATTTTATCCAAATTAAAAAAAAAAACTGAATCTGGCAACACTGAATTCAAGAATCATCTTCTTTTTTATGTGGCTTTAAAAATAAAGGTGTCTCATAAATATTTTAACTAATACGGTGTGATATTCAGTCGGTTTTAATGAAGAATTTCTAATTCACGCCAACTGTCTGTAGGGTTGTAAAACGAATGATTATAACAAAATGGATTTTTTTTATATTACTTAGAAACAAGCTGACGGCCCACCTGATGGAAAGTGGTAATCGTCGCCTATAGACATGAGCAGTACCATGGACATAACAGAGTATACTGTTTCGCCCATGATACCCCACATGCGTTGCCATTCCTGAGGACTCAGACGTTAATCTTCTGTACCCTGTAAATTCACGCCATATCCCACCCTTCAAATCGAAACACAGCCATGCAAACACAACTGCTTCACGGTAGAAACACGAACGGGAATGGTTGGTATACTGCTAGCAATAGGGTCCTTAGTCTCCATTACTCACAATCCCTTCCCTCTATCCAATATGGTTTGGTCGTTGTAGAAAATTAAATTAGGAAGAAAAGTGTTTGTAAGAGATTCATAATTTTTTTGTCATCTAACCACCATTCACATCAAGCTATACAGTCATTTTATCAAATGTGGGCGGGGGTCGCCGTACAACCTTTACCTTTAAGTACTAACTCGAGAACTAGAATTGTATTCCGTCTCGTATACTCAGCTCTCGTATACAAAGCAGAATCTCAAAAATGCTTATATATTAAGTTTATATATATATATATATATATATATATATATATATATATATATATATATATATATATATATATATATATATATATAAATACCAAATCAAATCTAGCTCACAGTCAGCACTAAAGCAATTAAAAGGCAAACAATCAAATTTTACAGCGTAACAAAATCAGAACGGACCGTGGGTTTTGTTGCCGACTGTAAACTACTCTGAGCGGCGCGGGCGCAATAAAAAAACGACTATAATTGCACCGTCATAAACGCTAGGTAGGTATGTACTTTTATAAACTACCGCGGGTTTCGGGTATCGATCGGTGATTAAATGATGCAATTATCATGGACAGAAAAGGGGAAGTGATTGTCTACAATGGGTATACCAGTCCCTTTTATAATACCTCTGCTAAGTTGACCACTTCGAGGTTTCTCCTCAATCATCATGGTTAACTTCCAATGAATCCGACACGAGCCAACTGATTTGCCATCCATCACTGCTGCTCCATGGTCGAGGGATGGGCAGCAGCAGGATTAAAAGAAAAGAGAATGATTTCCTCTCAACGGTTTTTTAATGGGTGATAATGGAATGGTAACCCCGCCTGCGCTAACGGTAAATGGAGCACCAGTGAGGAATGATAGGTGAGAATGAAAAGGTAGGCCAGTTAGTCCATCGTAATGAATACACCAGGAATTCTGTACAATGGTTTTCAGGGGGGAACCACGTGGAGGTCGACCTGACAGAGCATATTGCTAGCAATGAGATTGATAGAATCTAATAATCCCTTCCCCCTGGTTGGCAGCACTATGCCGACTTACTGAGCGTTATATCATGCTAAGTTTGAAGGATGTCAGGTTATAGAAGGCCGATAAGAAGAGATTTATGAGACATCACAGTATAAACTGTGACGCCCATTGCTCTATTTATGCTAATAAGCGCCGTTACAACTTTCCATCACGTGGGCTGTTAACTCGTTTGTTATTTCGAGTCGCATAAAAAAAATCGAAATTAAATTGTACAAGCACATCGAACTTATTTTTAGTTCTTGACTAGCTTTTACCCGCAACCTCGTCCGCGTGACCAGGATATGTTTACTGATCAGGATACAAAATAGACTATATTCTTCTCCTTACAATATAGTACGTGTATATCAAATTTTTTAGTGACTGGTAAAGTCGTTAAGACGCTTTAAAGGAACAAACAAACAAACTCATATTTACAATTATTATATTAATAAGTATTAGCTGTAACCCGTGCCCTTAGATTATATAGATAGAGCATCGAGTCTCAAATACGGGTCAACTTTTTGTCAGCTAATTGTCAAATTAGCTGACTCGTTTTTTTTACTAATGTTTTATATACTAACGTATATAATGTATTTTAACGTATCTATTTAATTATTTAATAAATGAAATGGATTTATACGCATAAAAAAGATGTAAAAATTATAAAACAAAATAAATATAGAAGTTATAAAGGAAACACTTTTTAATATGTATTACTCAAAATTGTATGAAAAAGTTGACCCGCTTTTCTCGAAGTTATGGAAACACTCTATGTAATCTAAACCTGTGGTTTTTGTGGTAATTTGGGATAAACCGTACTGAAACGGAGATAATACTTTTAATATGCAATGAGAGGATTTTAGAATGGAAAACTACAGAAAAGATGAGGAGACAGACATTAGCAAAATATATTTTTAAACAATATGTAAAAACAATATGTCAAAAAAGTATATAAATTTCGAATGACAATAAGAATATAAAAATGTAGCAAAGAGTTCGCTACATCCTGCCCCTCGTGCAGAACTGCACCAACTAGTTAAACTGGCCAAGGTCAGACAAACCTTAAGTGGTCAACTTTACTAGTTTTTTAAGGGGGCGCCGTAGCGTACCTCCTGCTGTGGCAACGTCCACTACTCGTGTTACTCCATCTCTGCCGGGAAACAATCTTTCGATCCGTCCTCGTGGCCAAGTACCTCGTGGTAGAGACTCGTCGACTATAAAGACTACGTCTCCGACTTGCAAATCCTGCGTTCCTTTTGTTTGGACTCTTA